GTGAGGAAAGGTGAGAATAGGAGATAGTAATACGATGGAAGAGCAAGGAGGGAAAGATTCAAACGATAGTTGTAGTAGTAATTAGCAATGTTTTGGGGGGTTATTTTAAAAACTCAGCCAGATCTGAATTGCATATATTTAGGTTGGAGTTATCACTACTAGTTTTGTAATCAATAAAAGTGTTTTGTAAATTAATAAATTAAGAGGTAGAGATTTCTTCTTGGTATGTTGCATATATAAGTTATTCGAGTTTGTTTTTGTTTTTAAAAAAGTTGTTGTTTAGAAATAAAGGTATAAAGGTATATGGAAGTATTGGATATCAATATAACTTTTATAAGCAAATTTTGACCAATTGTTGGACTGTATAACGTGTAGAATAAGTGCGCGTATAAATCAATTTACCTGAAAGTATTACTAGTATTATATATGCGCAAAAAAACATTTTAAGGATCATAATCTAAGATAGATTAGTGGAATGGTATGTAAGAACGTAGAAAGTATCTCAAAGGTGAGTTATAGATTTATGGGTTTAAACGTTTAGCAAGATTGTACTCTAATATACCAAAAAAAAAAAACGATGGTTTCATATCTTTGATTTAATAATTAAGTGTTGTTCAAAAGTTCAATAATACATATTTTTTCCTGCGAACAGAAAAAACAAGGTTCATTCAAAGATTTGCAAGTTCTAGCTTGTTTTAGGATTTTCTATTTAACCTTAGACGTTTTTCCTTCCTCTTTCAGTTTCCAAAAATATTTAGAAGGTGATGTCATATTGTGCTTGCTAGGATATGTGATTGTAATATCGATCCTTAAAAGGTCTTCTAGTTGATCCCACATACAATTTAATGTCCATGGGGTTATCATTTGATGAGATATAGCATATATATATATATACAATGGATTTTGTTAAGCCCCTGATGGACATTGATCGGGGATTCTGCAATTACTCTGTTACTTGGGGTATATTAGAGTTTGTGCTTGGGTTGTGTTTATTCTCGTTATGAACTTCAGTATTCTGTTGTTGTGTGATTTAATAATTTTATCTAGATTCTTAGAAAAACTATAACTAATTTTTAGGGTATTGTGGTTAAAGATTTGACTTAATTTTCTCTTCATAGGAAAGTTCTTGTTAATTAGATTTAAAAATTTGTGTCCCAATTTGTTACGGACTAATTTGCTGAAGGGAGGTGTACACCAAATTATTCTCCTTCCTCTAGTATTTTTTAGAGTAACTATAATTTTCCCTATATTTAATTTCGGAAGATCTGTAACCGCTGCCGGAAATGATTTTGTTATAAACAATTTTGTGTTTATGGAATATTTCTTTGTTAGAAGAGTGCTTGTTGATACGGCGTTCAACGGATGATGGGATATGCTTAATAACTGGCGCTGGGTGATTGGAATTAGGATTTATATAAATGGGGTCAGTGTTATTTTTTAGGAAGGGTTGGAAATTATTTAGGGTTAAGTTTAAGGTTACGTCTAATAAATATCCTTTTTATATTAGACTTAATTTTAACCTTGAGATGATAATTGTTCATAAACATTTTGGTTCTCACCAATCGAAGTGCAATTTTAAATGCACAGAAACAAAGTTGCATCTTTGTAGTGAGTAAATTTTTTTTTGTGTATATGAAAAGATTATAATATATATATATATATATATATATATATATATATGTGTGTGTATGTATGTATGTGTGTGTGTACAAGGCTGTTTCGCTGTATCACAGTTCATCGGTGTGACTAGACTTCCGATTGCCTCAAGCCGAGAACTATCAGTCAGAGACTCTACCTCTAAGCTATTGGCGCACGGCAGAGAAAGGGAATCTTTTAACGTATTATATACGTGATGTATATAAATGCCAAATCAGCATCTATCGTTCTCAATTCATAACTGAAGAGAGATGTGTCAGCACGGAAATATCATATGAAACAGGAATCTTCAACTCGGTTCACTCTTGCATGTTCAGCCGCTATAGCCCACAGGAATCACTTCTTCCGGCTATACCAACATGACAGTTCAGATAATAACAAGCGCCTCTTTGTATGTAAGCGTGTCCTCAACAAGACAATGTCGTTATCCGCTGACTGAATGAAACACCGTATAGCCTATCATAATTTTTGTTCTACAGATTACTGTTGGCACTCTAAGAGTGTACGGAAAAAAGAGCAAAAACCTATCTATCTATCTATCTATCTATCTATCACAGTCTGTTCATATCTATTTATCTATCTATGTGTGTGTATGCGTTCATCGAATGAATCTATGTATCTATCTCAGTAGGTTCGAATCTCTCTCTCTCTTTCTCTCTCTCTCTCTCTCTCTCTCTATATATATATATATATATATATATACTTTCGTGAGTCAGTTTTAACATATTTCAAATTCTGTTTTGTTAACAGGACTCACCTGAATGAGAGGAAACGCCAAGTATTTTATATTCGGTTTTGCGCATATAGTCGAGCTAATTTCATTTCGTTTCTTCGTCTTTTTGCTTATATTTGTATCACTTTTGTTGTGAAATATGGCGCATTGTGATAGTATCTTTGTCTGATTTCATCCTAGAATAGAAAGTCAGTAGAGATTCCATTCATAACACCATCCATGGTTTCTGCTATCATTTCCAAATTAGATCTAGGCTTGCTGACTTGATCGTATTCCTGCAATTATTCTAAGTAAACCAGCTCCTGAACTGGTTCCTATTCTTTCCAAATTCTACAACAAATGGTTTGCTGCTTCTTGTTTTCCAACTTCTTGGAAATTAACCTTCTGATCCAACGAATTATACTAGAAGCACTTTTAAACTGGTTAAGCATCTCACTTCATACGACCTTCTTTCGAATAAACAATATGGCTTCGTATCTCTAGGTCTACCATCGATGTGTTTACGGTTGTTATTTGAATTTGTCTATCTGGCTTTGGATATCTTGAAGGTGTTTGACGGGGTTTCCCATATTAGTCTTCTCCATAAGCTCAACAAATATGGGATCTCTGGAGGAATATTTCGCTTAATCTAATTGATGTTAGCATATTGTATAATTAAGAACGTTTTGAACGGCCACGCTTCTAGATCAGTTCACATTAATACAGGAGTTTTATTCTAGGACATACGTTGCTTTTTATCTTCGTTAACGACTAGGTATTTATGCAGATGACGCAACTATTTACTCATGTCTTAATAGTGCGATATGTCCAACAAATTAAAACTGAAAGCTGCTCTTGAAAATGACCTCTAATCCGTTGTTAGCCGGGACAAAGAATGAATTGTGAATTTTATTATCTTCAAAACGAAAATTCAATCTTTTAATCACTATAAAGAATCTTTTTTCTCTTCCATCAGCATGGCTAATGTTACATCTACACCTTCTTGGGCTCACGTGGAGTGATTATATATTGAACCAACAGCTAAGTGTGTTGGCTAACTGCATCGTGATAGACAATTTTCTGGTCAGAATCCATCTTAAACATTTATAAATTGGTCCTCACCTGTTATCTCGATTACAGTTACTTTACCACCGCTGTGAAGTGGTTTCTCTCTGTAAGCTCTTCAGTAAAATGAATAGAGCACTATGACTGCTTGGCGTTAGTTTACGTTTGTAAAATCAATACGCTAGATTTGGCTGACTCATTCTGCCGGATGAAGATGGCTCAGTGGTAGAAGCATTGATTGACACGAAATTTGTTGGGTTTCGATCCGAGCTTGAGGCATTCGGTTGTCTAGTCGCACTGAGGAGCTGTTATACAGCGAAACACTTTTGATACCTCAAAACTGCGAATGACTTTTTATTTTTTTTTTTTATTATATATATATATATATATATATATATATATATATATATATATATATATATATATATATATATATATATATATATATATGGTAAAGGCAATAAATCCGTTGGTATATAATCCCAGTAGATCCTAGTAATATTAAAAGTGATCCACAAAAAGAGCTCAATGTATTTATTATGACTAAGCATAAAAATTACACAACAAAATCAAAATTTATATAATTAAAATTTATTTTGTCTAAAAGTCCCCTTTCCGGCCTCTTTTAGTTTCAATTTAACACCTCATTCCTCATATAATCCCAATTTAATTTCATAAGGCTTATATCCGGGTTAATTTTATAAAACCTCTTCCCTTTAAGGCTAATACATTAACACCCCCCCCCAACCACCGACTCGAGCATTTCGTCATAATGGAACATCGAAATGTATGAATTCTGTATCAATTTTTCGACTGCTGTCAAAGTTAAATTTTAAATTTCTAATTCTGACACGAACACAGTCTATACACCGGGGTTGAATAAGACTAACGTATATGTCGTTGTTTGAAATAGATCTCTACCCCCCCATATGAGGTAATTTCAGATTTTGTTGTGTAGTATATATATATATATGTATGTGTGTGTGTGTGTATATATATATATATATATATATATATATATATATATATTCCCATTTCAAACCAGAGCTCAGGAGAGTAGATATTTTTTGTCTCACTTTCCATGCTTCGCGAAGATAACTCGCATCAGTTAATATTCACCAGTTTTATTCATCATTGTGCCATTTGTCCGTGTCTTCCACTGAACCAGATTATGTGACTTTTCATTACGACCAGAAGGATCGAACTCACAACTGCTAACAACTAGAT